AGTCCTAGTCTGGAACCAAGGGGCTGGGTCTGCTGAGACAGGTGACTAGGGTGCACTGGAAGAGGTCAGTGCCACTAGACACCCAAAGCTCCGCTGTTCGTGGACGGGGAAAAGTCAGAATCGACCACTCTCTTATTTTGACTCACAGCTTCTTCCACAAACAGACTTGTTTGTTTTCTCCCTTTATTACAAAAGCAATACATGGTGCTTTTTGCATTAGAGGCTATAGATTGGGGAACCAATTTTTAATGCCTAGCATGGATGTATTTATGCATTTCTGTATCACTTTTCCTTTTCATATACATGGGAATGCAGTATTTAGTAATCTGCTTTTACTTTTAGGCAGTGTTAAAATACTCATAAGTTTTAAAAGCTGTGTAGTATTTCATTATATGCATGTACCATGATTTGTTCAACCATTCACTTGCTAGACATTTGAGTTGTTTTGAACTTGTGCTGTTCTGTGCAGAGCCTCATGAGCATCCTGTGTCTTGATGACATTGGCACACTCACAACATGCATAGAGACTCTCTTCCAATGTGGCTGTTACTTTTTGGGTCAGGGGGCTGTCTTCTGTCTTGTAACATGGGGCATGGTAGTTAAGCTCCTGTTAGGAATGGATGTGTCAGTCAGTGTCAGGGTTAAACCTGAACACGGGTGTGGAAACAACTGGCCTAGTCGGAGAAGCAAGCTTTATTCTGTGAGTGGGCTGTGTATCAGAGCTGGCCTTTCTTCCTGCACTGTCCTGCTTCCCCCACAGGTGTGCCTCGAAGGGGAGATTTCTCGCCAGTCCATCTTGAACAGTCTGTCTCGAGGCAAGAAGGCTTCAGGGGACCTGATTCCATGGACAGTGTCAGAACAGGTGATGGGCTTTCCCTGGCATGTCTGAGGGAAGCTGGCGGTGTCTGAAGATGTCTGTGTTGCTAAGTTATTGGTTTGTGTCTCCCACACAGTTCCAAGATCCAGACTTTGGTGGTCTTTCTGGTGGAAGGGTCGTTCGCATTGCTGTTCACCCGGATTATCAAGGGGTAATGTGTCCTCAGGCTCCCCTGTAGCCGTGTTGCTGGTGGCACTTTAGGGTGGGGAGTACTTGGTGGTTGGATTAAGAAGATGGTCAAGCAGAAGCAAGTGAAGTGTAGGTACTTCCCTGCTCTGGAGAATTTAGCCAGGGTTCGGGGTGGGCAGGTGGACAGGATGATGGCATATGCCCACTCTTCCTTTGTGAGAGCAAGGACTTGTGAACCAGACCCGCATACCAAAATGACCTTCTTAGAACACCTCACTGGGTAATTGGCCGTAGAAGCTTCCTTTTCAGGCAGTGATACAGAAACTGCCTCTCTTTTGGGCTTGCCCATCTGGAGACCAGAAACTACAGCCATCCTTACCATCAAGTGGCTGTTCTTGATGGGCTAGACCAGTGTTAAGAACTCGAGTCACACTGCTTTCAGTCTTAAGCGTCTCTGCTTTGACCTCATTGAGGAACTTCATTGGTTCTCTTGCCCCTTGCAGTTTGACGGGGAGGGAAGGTTCTCTAGAAGCAATACAGGGGAGTCACCGTGGCTTAGACTGAGAGCAGCTCTCTTCCCTCTGCCTCTTCCCCTTCATGTTTACTCCTAGATGGGCTATGGCTAGACTGAGAGCAGCTCTCTTCCCTCTGCCTCTTCCCCTTCATGTTTACTCCTAGATGGGCTATGGCACCCGTGCTCTGCAGCTGCTGCAGATGTACTACGAAGGCAGGTTTCCTTGTCTGGAGGAAAAGGTCCTTGAGACACCGCAGGAAATTCACACCGTAAGCAGTGAGGTAAGCGTCTTTCGACGAACTTTCTGTGTCCTGCTTCTTGGGAGGATAATTCTCTGGGTTTTTAGGGGCATCAACAAAAACCAGTCCAGAGCTTTGGGCCCCTCTCTCATTTTCTTCTACTGCTGCTTTGTCCAACCGAACACTTGAGATCCTCAAATAAGTATCATTGGGATCATCTGGCAGCTTGTTAAAAATGTAAATTCTTGAGCCTCATTCCAGACCTACTGAATCAGAAACTCTGGGGTAGACCCTGTAATCTGTAGTTTAACAAGATTCTCAGGTGATTCTGATGCTTGTTCAAGTTGGAGAATCACTGCTCTATAATCTCTTTCATCCTACACTCAGACTAAGGGAAGTTCTGTCATTCCTTGATAAGAATGACTGATACTAGTAACTGTGACAGCCTTTCATGTGCATTCATTGATTTTCATAGTATGTCTGTTTGGGAGCTGGGCAAGGGGCTTTTATTTAAGTCGAAGCAGCTGGGCAACATAGCAAAACTCCGTCTCTACAAAAAATACAAAAATTAGCTGAGCGTGGTGACACACACCTGTAGTCCTGGCTACTTGGGAGGCTGAGGTGGGAAGATTGCTTGAACCCCAGAGGTTGAATCTGCATTGAGCCGTGATCTTGCCACTGGACTCCAGCCTGCGTGACAGAGCCAGACCCTGTCTCAAGCAATGAAAAAAGTTCAAGCTCAGAGGTTTGTCACTTCCCAAGGCTGTCAGGTGATAGAACCTGGACTTCATGCTGGATCATAGGAACCTGTCTGTCCCTTTGTAAATCTGTCGGGCATTTCTTTTTTCTTTTTTCTTTTTTTTTTTTTTTTTTTTAAAGAGATGGAGTCTTACTCTGTCTCCCAGGCTGGAGTGCAATGGCATGATTTCAGCTCACTGCAACCTCTGCCTCCCAGGTGCAAGCAGTTGTCCTGCCTCAGCCTTCTGAGTAACTGGGACTACAAGCACACACCACCACGTCTGGCTAATTTTTGTATTTTTAGTAGAGATGGGGTTTTGCCGTGTTGGCTAGGCCAGTCTCGAACTCCTGACCTCAGGTGATCCGCCTGCCTCGGTCTCCCAAAGTGCTGGGATTACAGGCGTGAGCCACCACTCCCGGCGTCTGTCAATCATTCCTAAACTCTGTGGCTGTCTTCCTGCATTCTGGAGGTCCAGAGCAGTGTGACTCCATGCATGTTGAGGTGTTTTGTGTACGTGGGAATGATTGCTTGACTGTGGTGTTCCCATAGTTTGACAACCACAGCAACAAACCAAGAAACCTCTCCCAGTTTTTGTTGTGCTAAGTCCAGAGTGAGCTGTGGCAGGGTTGCTTGACGATGTCTCTCTCCCTGTGTCGAGTGGACTGTGTTCTCTCCTTGGCATCTTCACAGGCTGTCAGCTTGCTGGAAGAGGTCATCACTCCCCGGAAGGACCTGCCTCCTTTACTCCTCAAATTGAATGAGAGGCCCGCTGAGCGCCTGGATTACCTGGGTGTTTCCTATGGCTTGACCCCCAGGCTCCTCAAGTAAGTGCCTGCCCTCCTTCCTCAGCATCACTCCTTGGCATTGAGAAAGAAGAGTTCTGTGGGCTGTGTGTCTGTTGGTAGCTGGTGCCTGTGCTAGCCTGCTGTTCGTGGCCTGCTCTCCTGGTGCTTGCCCTTGTGTGTCTGTCAGCCGCTCCCCAGAGGCCACACACAGTGACCTACTGTCTTTGTATCTTTGCAGGTTCTGGAAACGAGCTGGATTTGTTCCTGTTTATCTGAGACAGACCCCGGTGAGTGAGGCATCCAGCAGAGGAAAAGTTTAGGTTTGCCGTTGTGGTAGGTGACAGGCCTGTCCTTGCAAAGAGCCCTAGTGCTGCGTCGCTCTGAGCAGGTGGCTGTGCCTCTGAAGAGGTTTATTCTGATGGACACGGAAACAGCCATCCTCAGGGACGGGCCACGTCATTACACATTTCTTCCCCGACTACACGGTGCATGCCTTGTGCTTAGTCATAAAATGGCAGAGGTGCACGTGGACTTGTTCATCAGATTCTGAGGAAGGAGAGTGGACAGGAGGATCAAGGGTAATTCCTAGAGTTTTGGCTTGAGAAACTGGGTGTTGGAGGTGCTGTCAGAGGTGGGACTCACTGCAGGAGGAGCAGATTTGGAGGGAAGAGTGGGAGTTCTTTTTTGACATTAATGTGAGATGCCTATTGGACATCCAAGTGGAAATGTGGACTAGGCATTTATTTGACTACAGTAATATGGAGGTAGGGAAGTTTGGGGCTAGAGATGGAGCTTTGGGAGCCATCAGCATATTCATAATAAAATGCACTGCATGAGGGCACGGAGCTCTTGTCTGTTTTGTTCATTGCTGTACTCTTTGCACTTAGAGTAGCAATTGCTGTGTAGTGTGTGTTCAGTAAATACTTTTGTTGAGTGAATGAAAAATATCTGGAGCCAGTGAAAGGACATGAGGGTGACTCCTTGGACCCTAACATTTAGAGGAATGAGGAAGAGGACACAGCACATACAGGACTGAGAAGGAACAGCCCTGATGCGCAGGAGAAAGTCAGGGTATGTCCACGTCGAGGTGAAGAAGTGGGAATGGGAGTCAGCCCTGTAGAGAGGATGAGGGGGATGAGGACAGCTGGCCGTTGGATTCATCAGCAGCAGTGAACTGCATTGAAGCAGCGGCAGTGGAGTGGTGGCTTTGGCCTGGCCAGAGGGAAGAGGAGGTGAAGAACTAGAAGGGGAACAGGCGACTCTTTCAGGAAGCGAAAGGGAGCAGAGAAACAAGGTCGCTAGAGGGAAATGGAAGCTAAAGGGGGATTGTCAGATGGGAGAGTCTAGAGAATGTTTGTTTGCTGCTGGGTTCGATTCTGCAAGTAGTGGTATAGGTGAGGGGGGCTGACTGCCAGAGTGCAGGCCTTGAGGAAGTGGTGGGTGGGACTCGAGACTCAGGAAGGGAGGTGACCACCTACTTCATCCTTCGGACCCAGGGAAGGCAGAGAGCATGGGAATGGAAGGCGTCAGTTGGCTGGCTGATTTGGGGTTGGGAGGATGATGACGTTCTCTTCTGAGTGCTTCTGTCTTCCCAGATGAGGGGAGTCCATCGGCTGAGAGGGAAGTGTTGGAGGTTTAGGGCAAAGCCAGTATCCGAGGCTAGTGTCCAGTGTCCGTCCGAGGGTTTAAAGTGGGACTGGTGAGGACCGCTGGGTGTTGGGCTGCTTCCGTGCAGGCAGGGAGCCGCAGAGATGGGTTGGTTCTCTGTCGGTGCGTTTGGTGGAGGCTGGGGATGTAAATTCGGCCGTCAGCTGCAAGGAGAACGCAGGCTAGTGCGCTGCTGTGTGGTCTGCGGTGTGTCCATGTGGTCTTGTACTGTGCACTGTTCATTTGCGATTTGATAGTGGTGTTTTTATGGTATGGGCTTTGTTGTTATGTAGCAGAAAATGTAAAAACAGTCGCAATTTTAGCACCTAAAGAAGCCTGCACTTGCAGACTGGCTGCCAGCACTGAGATATAGGTTTTGTCCCTGGAGTTCCTGCTGTGAGGCACCAAACCCATGTAGACTGGATTGTGTGGAGCTTAAGCCCTAATGACTGAGTTCAGCATCCACCTGAGAGGAACAGGTATTTCCCTCCCGCAGGTCCCGAGCAAGAGGCAGGCCTGGAAGAGTGAGCACCTCTGCTCTGTGTCTGTGACGCTTTTGAGGAGATTGCAGGACAGTGATCTTTACAGCCCTTGCATGTGAACTGAGGTGATATGAGGAAGGTGAAGGCGAGGGCTGTGTTTGAGAAGGGTGCCTCTCCCAGCCCAGGTAGAAGGAGAGGCCCGCGGAAGCACCAAGCCTTTCTTCTCTGAGTGTTTACCCTTCATCAATGATGGGTTGTTCAAAAAAGGGGGTTCTTGGTGCCAGCTGAACCTCTGTGTTGTCCAGAATGACCTGACTGGAGAGCACTCGTGCATCATGCTGAAGACACTCACTGATGAGGACGAGGCTGACCAGGGAGGCTGGCTTGCAGCCTTCTGGAAAGGTGACTGAGGAGTGGGGGTTCTGGGGAGACAATGAGGTGATTGGGGGCTGCCGGGGATGCCTCCAGACCTCTAACTCTGCGTGATGGCACCCCACAGATTTCCGACGACGGTTCCTAGCCTTGCTGTCCTACCAGTTCAGCACCTTCTCTCCTTCCCTGGCTCTGAACATCATTCAGAACAGGAACATGGGGAAGCCAGCCCAGCCGGGTGAGCCGGGCCGGGACAGGGAGGAGGGTTGGGAGTGGCTTGGCTGTGTCGGAGGTGGGTGTGGTATCTGTGGGCTGGAAATTGAGGGCCTGGTTCTAGCCTGCAGTCACTCGCTGGCCACCACCCACTTGCCAGGCCTCTGCTCTGTCCCACGCTGTGTTGTCTTCCATTTTCATGGTAAGACTCTGGCTGTGCAATTTGACGTCAGAGGTGTCCATTTAGTTCATGTAGCTGGTTTGTTATGGAGGCCGATTTACATCTGTGCTCTAGGGGAGTGAGGTTTAGTTTCTGAGGTTTAGTTTCCTCATTCATGAAATTGTAGTAAGAACATGCTGCTAGCCTTCTGTAGCCAACAGCACACAGAAGTGCTTTGTGCATACAGATTCTATTTGAATATTTAAAAAACAAAAAATGTGTAAGAGATTAGTTTTATTGCATATTTTATACATAAGTATGTAGGTATAACATGCATATATATGTGTATATGTGTGTGTATATACTTTTTTGCCACTTATATTTTGATGGAGAAATCTGTATATCTTGAGCTGGGCAGAGGTTACACACATTCTGTGACACCGAATGAAGTGACAAAGCAGGGAAAGAGTGTAGTTGTGTTCCCCTAACCCTAGGCCACAGGGAGCTTTTCCTTGGTCCATGTGTTGAGTATGGGAACTGAGCAAGGGTCCTGTGGCAGCCGTCCCCTCCCTGCACATGGCCCGGAGCCGCCCCTTCTATGGCAGGAGCAGGTTTGGTGCCCCTCTGGGCCAGGGCTGTGTGGTATGGCTGCCAGGCCCTGTTAGATGCTTCTGTGTGTTAGGGTGCCGCCTGGGGGCTGTGTGCTATCTCTTGAGGGTGCCAGGTGACCTAACCTGTCTGGCTCTGTGTCCTGTGGTCAGCCCTGAGCCGGGAGGAGCTGGAAGCACTCTTCCTCCCCTATGACCTGAAGCGGCTGGAGATGTATTCACGGAACATGGTGGACTATCACCTCATCATGGACATGATCCCGGCCATCTCCCGCATCTATTTCCTGAACCAGCTGGGGGACCTGGCCCTGTCCGCGGCTCAGTCGGTAGGCTACCTGCTGCTTGCGTGGAGGAGGAGAAGCGAGGATTGTGGAGCTGTTTGTTTGCTGGGTGTTGGGTTGGGCCCTTGGACATAATTGTGTGCCTTTAATTCCTCATAGATCTGATAGGTGGGTAGTGGTCTCCTCATTCTACAGGTCAGGAAACCTGGGCTCTGAAGTCGAGTAACATGCCCAGCCATACGAAGTGAGAGAGCTGCAGCTTCCACCCCGCTACGTTGCCTTGACACTTAACTCCACCTTAGCAGAGGTTCAGGAACATCCCAAACTTTTATTGTAGTTGTGAAGCAGGTATTTGTCAGGATAAAAGTTATTTTGGGGATTTAAGGAAGACAGCATTTCTTGGTGGTCTCAGTAACAGGATGAGAGAGAAGATGCCAATATACACAGTGCTAGTCTGCCTTTGTACCAATAGCTTTGGGCAAGAGAGTACCCTAGTTCTTGGCGCCATTTTAATGGGCAAGGGCCTGTCCTAGAGGCCCACCCAGCAGATTTTCCATCCTTTAGGCTCTTCTCTTGGGGATTGGCCTGCAGCATAAGTCTGTGGACCAGCTGGAAAAGGAGATTGAGCTGCCCTCAGGCCAGTTGATGGGACTTTTCAACCGGATCATCCGCAAAGTTGTGAAGGTAACCTCGGCCCGAGGGCAGGGGCTTGATCTCTCTCAGATAGTACAGCGAACCCACTCCCTGCTCCCGAGATGAACACATGTTAGCATTTAGCTGTGTTTGCTGCATCTCGTCACACACACAAATCCGGGACTTCAGCTCTGAAAAATCTGTGAAGTTGTGTGTGTCCTCTCCCAGAGGCATCCCTGTTAGGAATTCGGTACATATCCAGTCTGTGTTCTTCAACTCTTCTTGCGAATATCCATATTCCTAAACTGTAGAGTGTTGCTTTATGTCTTCAAAATGCACACCTTTCTATAAGAGACCAAGCGTCTGGGTCACGGGTGACTGGGCGCCTGCTGTTCCTTCATCTTCTGCTTCTCTGTGGTCATCTTTTGTAGCTGTTTAATGAAGTTCAGGAAAAGGCCATTGAGGAGCAGATGGTGGCAGTGAAGGATGTGGTCATGGAGCCCACAATGAAGACCCTCAGTGATGACCTGGTATGTCCCTACTCAAGGCCTCAGGAGTCCTGGCTTTTCCATCAGTTGCCTTAGGCTGTGAATGCAGACTGTCTTCCCTTCCCCTTTAGAAAGAGTCCTCTGCACTCATTGAGCTAAGTGCTATTCCATAGGTTTAACTGGGCAAATGGACCCAGCATTGTCTGAGCACACACAGGCCTAGAGTTGTACCTGCCATTGGTTGTGTGTGTATGTTATGAATGCAGGATTCCAGCATCTGTTGTAAATGTTTTGTCTTTTTTGGTGACTTCTTAAATGCATATTTTATATACAGAGCTACCTTAAAATAATCAGAGCTGCCTACAAGGTTTTTGCAGGTGGACGGAAGAGAAGGAAATGTTTTCTCATCATTGTGCTATTCCACCCCAGCTTCCCCTTTTCCTGTGCTTGGTTCAGTCCTTGACTCTGACTTAGTCTCTGTATGGGTCCTTAACCACAGGATGAAGCAGCAAAGGAATTTCAGGAGAAACACAAGAAAGAAGTGGGGAAGCTGAAGAGCATGGACCTCTCTGAGTAAGGCTTGTGGGAAGCAGAGACTTTGCCTTGGCTTCTGGGGCCCTAAGAATCTGCCTACACGTTTCTTCTAATCATATCCCAGGTGCCCTGGGAAGTGTCTTTCATGGGATCAATGTTAGGAGCGCTAACAGTTCTACTTGACCTTCTAACTGCCTGCTTGTATAATTTTGGAAGAATTGGGTTCCTGAGACCAGTGCGGCCACTTTGACTTTCAAATTGCGTTCTCCGATCCCCAAGGCTCCAGGTCATACCTCAGGTCCTTCCAGGAGTGGGGGTGCCGATTGGATGAGCAGACACTTTAATGGTTACTTTACTCTATTTGGCTTTTACACGTGACTTTGTTTGAAGAAAGGATTCTACTGCTAAAACCAACCAAACAAGCAAAACCCTTGCTCTGAAACCGTCTGGGGATCCTCCTAGTCCCTTCTGAGCTTCAGCTGTAGTGGTGCTGCCTCTCCCTCCACCGCCTGGATTGATGTGAACAATAACTCCAGAATTCATGGCCTCTGAGCCTCTGTGACCTGTAGTCCTGTTTCTGGGTCATCAGTGATGGTGGCTGCTGGGTGTGTGAGATGGAGGTGGCCAGGAGTCCTTGGTCAGAGAATCGAGCTGTAGTTTCTGCCCTCAGCTTTGTAATATCAAAACCTTGATTTGCCAGGACTGCTAAATCTAAAAGAGAAGGGAGGGAGGGAAGAGGCACAGTTCAAGGGCTTGTGGACAAACGCTTGGAGGTGGGAGTGAGTGAGAAGATTGTGGGGACGACAGGAAGCTGCTTTGGGGGGTGTTAATGAGAGTCATGTGGGAGAAGCCAGGCAGGCGCCTTCTGTGCAGGACTGTCCTCACTGACCCCCGCCAGCAGACCTGGTGACCCTCGCTTCTGTGGAGCTTCTATCCATAGAGCTAAGTGCCACATCTCTTGGCCCTCCTGCATGCTCGTCCCCTTTGTCCTTTCTGCTGTTCAAATGCTGACACTGCTCAGCCTGGCTTTCATGACAGGAAAGGTCTGATAAGAATGTTGTCACTGTTGTATTTTCTCTTAAGCAGTCCCGTCTTCTTTCAAGCAGGCTTTGATAGTGCCCTTCTGTTTTTTTAAGATACATAATCCGTGGGGACGATGAAGAGTGGAATGAAGTTTTGAACAAAGCTGGGCCGAACGCCTCGATCATCAGCCTGAAAAGGTGAGGGCCTAAGGTCTGACCTACATCTGGCGGAAGAGGCATTCTGGCCTCTCTGCTTCTCTTTAACTTTGACTAGAAAATAGGAGGTTGGAGCAAAAGCTTTGACAGAAAAGTCATGGTTCTTCCCTTTGAGAGTCCCTTGGCCATTACCCTTGCAGTGCATCTCCCACAGACCAGGAGGGCCATCTCTTAGGCATGGATCTCTTCACTGTTTGTATTCGTCAGCCTTGCCAGGGCGCTGGGCCTATCAGAGAGAAGGGCTTGAGGGAACAGTCCAGAAGCTGCCACTGGCTGAGACTTGCCTGTGGGCTTTCATCATTCAGCCCTCAGGATGACAGCATGAGGGGGCTGTTTTATTACTGTCACTGCTTTCAGATGAAGTAACCAAGGCTCTACGGGGTTAAGTAAATTCCCAAGAAGCACATAGCTAGTGAGAGCTGGAGCTAGAATCAAGTCCAAGTTTCTCTACTGCAAGGCCATAGGTTTAACTGTTACATTGTCCTTCCTTTGAGCCAGCAGTTCTCAAGGTTTTGGGTCTTTGAGTTCCTTTATCTCTTAAAAACAATTAAGGCCCCCAGAGGACTTTTGTTGGTTATATCTATTGTAATTTCCCATATTAGAAATGAAAAACTGGCCAGGTACGGTGGCTGATGCCTGTGATCTCAGCACTTTGGGAAACCGAGGCAGGAGGCTCGCTTGAGCCCAGGAGCTCAAGACCAACCTGTGCAACATAGTGGGCCCTGTTTCCACAAAAAAATCTTAAAAAGAAAATAAACGGAGAAATTTAAAAAATATTCATTTGTTCACAGTAATAATGGATTCAGTTGTTTGGAAAAACACTCTCATAAAAATTGTGGTGAGAAGAGTGGCATTGTTTTACATATACATTTTTGCAAATCTCTTCAATATCTGGCTTAATAGAAGGCAGCTGGATACTCGTGTCTGTGTCTTCACTGACACTCTTGTGCTGTCATATCTTATACTCTCTGGAAAACTGAATATTTATGAGAGAATGAAGATGAAAAAAGGCAAATAACTATTTTCATACTAATAGAAGTACATTTTGACCTTGTGGACACCTGAAAGGGTCTTAGGGACCCCAGCAGTCCTTAGACCACTGTTTGAAAATCTTCACTCCAAGCTTCTTATCTGCAGAGTGGTGCATTTGTAAATAACTTAGGCTGGAACCTTCATCAGTTTTCCTTGGGAATACAATGAGGCCTTCCCTGCCCAGGGCCTCTGGAATTGAGGCTTTCACAGCTGATTTGGGGGTTGATGGGGAGGGTGAGATTTTGGCAGTCCCCTAGTTACTGGTTTCCTTAAAAGCTTATATTTTGGAAACATTTGGAAAGAGGAAACCTTGTGTCTCTGGGAACTATAGATCCCAGAAATCAGATACTATCTTCCAGAGTCTCCATTAGTCACTGTGGCATCTTGAAGGATCCAGCATCGATGCCGGCCTCATTTCCCAGATGCTCTGTGGTGCAGTACAGAAGCCCACTGTCGGTGTGACCTGTCTCTGGTTTGTACAGTATGGGAAATGTAGCACAGGGCCCATGATGGCTTTGGCTTTGAGCACGGTGGCTTTCACTGGAAAAAAAGGCTGGAGAGCGTGCTTGCTGTGGAGACAGCCTCAGCTCCTCACTCTGCAGAACTTGGCCTTTCCTGCCATTGGTTTGGCCATTGCTGGTAGTGAGAAGCCTCTTGAGTCCAACCAGCCAGTGCTGTGTGGTTGTTGATGTGCTTGATGGCTCTGAGTAAATGTGAAAGCTTGAACTTTGTGAGCTAAAAGTGCTGGTAGCTATCATTAAATACTCTGAGGCATTTCTTTTTCTTCCTTTGAGAGGTACTTCATTCATACAACCTTAATGGTATCTGGACTGAACTCTTCTCTGTCTCCTTGTAGGGAAGTATTTGTTCCCAGAGCAAAATTAAACCTATGTTTCTTAATGGCAGGTGGCCGTTTGCTGAGTGATTCCTGTGCCAGTATATCAATGAAGAATCCAGGAACTGGTCACTGGGTGTCACCTGTTGTTTTCGATTTCTTCTTCTCATATAAGATAAATAAAATAATAGTAGCACATCATGGCTATTATTATGGCAGGGTTTTCCTTGGAGTCTCATGCCTTGTGTTAAGGACTGTCTTCAGGGTCATTGGGATAAATATGTCTGGTTTCCAGAGTCACTGCAGTGGTGGTGAGAGTGGTGAGTGGTGAGTGGTGAGTGGAGAGTGGTGGTGGGGAATCCTTGTGGTGCCTTAGATCTGTCTTGGGAGAGGGGAGCACAGCATACCGAGCTCTGAGGAGAACCCGGATTTCAGGTGTTAAGATCAAGATTTGTTCTTCCACAGACTAAGAGCTGGGTCAGGGCAGGAACTGGTCTGTGTGGTGTGTCCCCAGCCCCAGCACAATGCCTGCCCCCTAATAGGTTTGCAGAGAACATTTACGTCCAATCGGGTGTCCTTACATCAAGTTTCAAACGGTGGAAACCCTTTTTCACAAAGCAAAGCAAGCTTAAAACCAAGCAGTCTCAGATGTTCAGATCTGTACATATTTCATTCTTTCTATTTTTGATTTTTCTCTAGTGACAAGAAAAGGAAGTTGGAAGCCAAACAAGAATCCAAACAGAGCAAGAAGTTGAAGAAGAATAGAGATACAAAGAACAAAAAAGATATGAAACTGAAGCGGAAGAAATAGTGAAGAGAAACTTTGGCATCAGTGTTTGATCATGGGAAGATACTCTCACTTCCTGAACCCTCTCTGGCTGGACTGTTATAAGCAACAAGAGGCCCCGGCACACCTGCAAACTGGCCGCGGATTCAGCCTCCGGGCCTGTGTTAGTCTGCGAGCTCAACCTGGCTGAAGGCAGAGTCACTCCCAGATGGGTCTCCTTAGAACTTGATGGCTGGGCACTGCCACCTAGAATTGCTAGGAGTCTCTCTCTCCCCAGCCAGTCCAGGGCCCTCCTTTCCTATAAGTTCATATTTTGCTTTGGGCCAGCTTTTTAGGCTCATTCTCGCACACGTGGAAGCCATGTTGCCTCTCGTCCTCCTGAGGCCCTTAAGTACATCGCTTTCTGGTGGTGCCCAGGGGGCTGCTGCTGGGCCGCTGGGTCTCTCTTTGTGGCCTTGTGCCTGGAGCAGGAGGACCTCCAGTCCGTCCCGGCATCCCTGGCAGCACGCAGTTAGGTGCACCGGGGTTTGCTGATGTCGTCTTGTGCTGTTCCACTCTTGGCTCCAGCAGAGCCACTGTCCCAGAAACACCTGAGCCTGTAGTTTGTGTAGGATGCCACATCTGCGTCCTCAAAACCTGTTATCTCATCCATTTGGGAAAAGATGTTGGGAAAGGCCATTTTGCTCGCAGGGGTGAGGGGAGGGATAGAGAATCTATTTTTAATAAATAATATTCTAGAAAGACCAGCTGCCTGTGAGCGTTCTGAAATCCACACACGTGGAAGTTTCTTCTGGTCGGTCTTGGCTGCCTGGTGGAATTTGGAAGGCGTTGGTATCAAGGCCGGAGGTGAGCAGTGTATCTAGGGCTTCCCAGCCCAGAGGTCTGCGGGAGAAGTGGCAGGTGGTTGTGGTCACCTCGAGGGGCTTGGTGTGGTGGCTGGAAGCCAGCTAGAACTGCCTCATTTCCTTCCCAGCTCCTTCCAGGTCACTTGGTCCCTTCTATTTGTTGGGAACAGAGATTACCTGGCGGCTTTACACATACTTTGGTGTGTTTGTTTAATGGTATCCAGGCTAATGAATCTGCAGCCCTGATGTGTTGTCTAGGTTCAAAGAAGGACAGGGAAGGAAACGGTAACTTCTCAGCCTAAGGGTATTTCATATGCAGCTCCTGGGACTTGTTCCCAGAGGGAGAAGAGCAGGTTCTGTGCGTGACCCTAGCGCTGCTGAGCCTTGTCACCGAGGCTGTCAGGACGTGAGCTAGGGACCTTTCATTTCTTGGAACTGAAGTTTCCTGGCCACAGACCTCTGTTAGGTCTGTAGGAAATTTTGCTGGCGGTGGGGAGAGGGCATGAAAATAATTTTTATTTATTTTCTCAGGTGGGTGCCTAAGCCTGCCTTTCAAAGAGGGTTTTCTTAGAGCGTGGCCAAAAGCAGAGTCACATTCTCAAATGGTCAGAGCTGGATGGGACTGTGCAAGTTGTCCAGGCATATCATCCTACAGGTAAGGAAGCTTTTGTTTAGTGTCTCTACCCCCAAAGTCTCCCCAGCTGGCTTTGCTGTGGGTGCAAGGTGAGAGGGCTCTGGAGGCAGACTGCTCTGCCCTGACCCTCACCGTGGCCTTGGGCAGGTTACTTGATCCTACCTGCCCTTCAGGTCCACTTCTGCAAAGTGTGAGCAGTAGGAATAGCACCCCCGTCATGGGGGTGTGGTGAGGAGTGGGTGGGGTAGAATGGAAAGCGTTTAGAACAGTGCCTGGCACAGAGCAAGTGCCTGCTCAGTCTCTCTGGGTTCTGGGCACTCATCAGATCTAACTAGAGGAGCTGTTCAAGTTCAGTTACATGCCAGCTCTGAGAAGAATAAGGACTGGCTGTGGTGGTGTTTTAAAAACAGACAGGGTCTTGTTCTGTTGCCCAAGCTGGAGTGCGGTGGCTCAGTCATAGCTCATTGCAGCCTTGAACTCGGGCTGAAGGCATTCTCCCACCTCAGCCTTCCAAGCTGAGGGAAGGTGCTCACCACCACACCTGCCTAATTTTTGAAATTATCTAGAGATGGAGTCTCAATATGTTGCCCAGGTTGGTCTGGAACTCTGGCCTCAAGTGATCCGCCAGGGCCTCCCAGAGTATTGGGATTAGAGGCATGAGCCACCACACTTGGCCAGGACTGGCCATGTTCCAAAACCACAACCTAAGCTAGAAAAGGCGTCTCACTTGGGCAGCAGAGAGCATGCATTTTGCAGTCAGACTTGTCTGGCTGAGTGTAATATCTCTGTATCCTTGGACAAGGCCTCTTTATTTGCAAAGTGTGTGTTCCTAAACACACGCCTGGGTCTTTGCATTTTGTGGTCATGATCTTGGGTTCTCCTTCAAACCTGAAAAGGCATGCTCCCCCACACTTCACCATCTGGCCCCCAGACAGAGTGACATCTGTAAAGCTTGGCTGTCTTAGGAAATGTCACTTGCGAAATGAATTCAGATAGGCCAGCCATGAATGCTGTCACCAGAAGGGGAAGAGGCTAAAGAAGCCTGAACAAAGAATGTTACTGAATGGTCGTCCCCCATGCCCCCTCGCCAGGCGGAGCTGATGCCGGCCTGCTTCAGTGCTTCCACTGCTCATCTGGCCCGGCAGTCCCAGAGGACTCCAGAGTGACCAGGAGACGGGACACAAAGGGGGCCGCTGAGGCTGGGAGGTGGGGGAGGGGCAGAAATAAGTGACCGTCACCTTGGAAAAATGTAGACTTATTATCTGAGGCCCACCCGCAGCCATTCTGCAGGCCCAGAGGAGGGGGTGGGGTTGGAAGCCCCTTGGGCTTGAATAGACAATTTCAGGGGATTGTCCCTGAAGGGGCATGCCCTTGATTCTACAAACAATTGGTTGGAGTTAAACCTCATCTGGATCCTGCAAACGGGACAAGAAAGGCAGCCTGAAAGGGAGAGGCTGGGGCTTCCTGCTCGGGCTGGTTCTGTTGAGGAGAAAGCTCTAGCCACCTCGCATCTGGCATGGGGACTGATGTGGAAAAGGATAACTGGCCTTCCAGGCGGAGAGCAGAAAGGAAAGGAAAGCTTCAGGAGAAGATTTGAATGCAGGAAAGAAACCAGACAGCCTCAAAAAAGGCAATCTCAGTGTTCGCCCTGTCGGTGCAGGAGCAGACTGGTACCCGCCACCTCTGGAGAGGCGCTTTCTTTGGAGACGGCTAAGGCGCCAGCTTATCATTGCCTGTGGACCTGCTGAAGCGGAGTGAAATCCCTGTGGATGCAACCCATGCGCTCAGCACCTGGGTACTCAAGGGCTCCAGTGAGAAGGTAACTCCCCCGAGCCCGCCTGTGGCTGCTCATAGCAGGCGGAGCAGGCAGGCAGTGAGCAGTGGCCCCGAATTAGGAGGTCCAGCTGCCCGGGTAAGTGATCATTTCTGTTTGGGTCCTAGCCCCTTGGAAGCATGTCTGATTTTTTTTTTTTTTGGTAATTATTTTAATTTTTAATGTTTATTCAAAAATGTATTCCTGCTACCCACAGGCTCCAAGGGACCCGCTCCCTCTCTCCCACCTCCACTTTCTCTCAACCCCCCACTCACCCTCTCAGGAAAGGAAAGGGCTGATCCCTCGTCTGGAGCCAGAATGCAACTCGATCTTGCTTTCTAGACTGGGTACTGACCGAGGCATGTCCTGCAGGGATGGGGCAACTTGTGGGGACGCTGGACACAGACCCGTGAAGGGTAGCTACTTTGTATGACAAGTGCTGGGGAGAGGCGGCCTGCTCTACCACCTTCTTGGCCACAGCATAGAAAGATGGTGTGGGGGCCAGGCGCGGTGGCTCAAGCCTGTAATCCCAGCACTTTGGGAGGCCGAGACGGGCGGATCATGAGGTCAGGAGATCGAGACCATCCTGGCTAGCGTGGTGAAACCCCATCTCTACTAAAAAAAAATACAAAAAACTAGCCGGGCGTGGTGGCAGGCGCCTGTAGTCCCAGCTACTCCGGAGGCTGAGGCAGGAGAATGGCGTGAACCCGGGAGGCGGAGCTTGCAGTGAGCTGAGATCTGGCCACTGCACTCCAGCCTGGGCGACAGAGCGAGACTCCGTCTCAAAAAAAAAAAAAAAAAAAAAAGAAAGATGGTGTGGGGGAGTGCGCCCCCTCCCAGTGGCCCCCAGAGGGCACCATGGGTCTGTGCGACCCCAGGGCCCCAGGCTGGGCCTCGAGCTTCCTGCGCAGCCCCTGCTGGAATTGGGCCTTCCCAGGGACTGGGATCTTTATGTCATTCCCCTAACTCCTGAGTCATGGCCAGTCATTGGCCCACAGCCACTTTGCTTCAGGTTCCCAGTGACCTTAGGAATTTCTGTACCTGCCTCTGCAGGCAGGCAACTTTTTTTTGAGAAACTCTTGCTTTGTTGTCCAGGCTGAGGTGCAGGAGTGATCATAGCTCACTGCAGCCTTGAACTCCTGGGCTCTGTGATCCTCCCACCTCAGCCTCCTGAGCAGCTGGGAATACAGATGTGCACCACTATGCCCAGCTAATTGGCAGGGAATGTTTTAAAAACTTGTATTTGTGCCTGAACTTTGCACCTAAAACTACAGCCATGGCCCCAGAACACTGTTGGGTCTGAGTCGGCGCCTCACCATCTCCCTCCATTACCTCTGCTAGTGGCCTGTGGTGGCACAGCCAGCTTAGCACTCACCCAGGGACAGATCCCTCAAATCAGGCCAGGTCGGGCCTGGGTGAAGGAGGCCCTACCGCCACTTTGCTGGGCTCTGCCATTTGGGGATGTGCCAGGGTTTGCAAACACCTCTGAAGACATCCCCCAAAATAGCTCCCACATAAAGGGCTGTGGAGGGGGTGGGAGTGGAGATAAGGAAAGCCTGGTGGTGTCATATTCCTCAGTCATTTGGTGCCTGTCCAGCTCAGTGCTTGAATGTGAGTGAGGGCCGGTGAGGAATGGAGAGAGGCAAGTGCTGGGTGGCCACAGCAATGGCTTTGGTAGGGTCTTGGCTCTGAGAGGCAGGAGACCTGATAAGAGAGTCAGCTCTGGGATCTCTTCCTGGTCCTAAGGGCTCCTCCCCAGTTCTGAACTCTGAGTAACCCTCTTCCAGAGCAGTGAGGCTGAGGTCATTGTTAATGAGTATTTATTGTTAATAAAACCATAGTACATTTACAGTAGGTGACAACATTATTGTACAGTTAAAGTATCATACAATATTACAGCAATAAAATAATGCCTATTTCTTTGTACATCCAGCCAAGCAGCTAGTCAAAATATTTTCCAGGATTGCAAGCCCTTGGGGGCTGTTCAGGGTGACCTGAGTGACACCTCCTGAATTGCCCAGGGCTTTTGGTGAATAAATAGTTTCTAAGGTGCCGCCAGACAGCTGAAGAAGTTGCACCCAGCAGGCTGTGCCTGATGCTGCCCCAGTGTCTGGTCCATAAATACGACAGGTGTCAGGGGAGCCTGGGGCCTGCAGAATTCGAGGGCAAGGCCAGGAGGGGACACAACAGAAAGGCCTCTTCTCTTGGCCCTTATTTTCCATCAATGACCCGTCCTTTATCTCCAAGAGCCACAGTTCCCAATGGGAAGTGTTTGCCCAGCTCTCAATCCTCCATTAAAGGAGCGAAGAGACTTGACCAGGGGGCTCTGCTTCCTGGCCCCACAAAGGCAACCCAGTTTAGGCCTGAGGTTCCAGAATCCACCCATTTACTTTGGCCCCTAAAACCACAGCAAAACAAGAGCTGAGGCCATTCCTACACAGTACCCCATCC